GCTGTCCCTGTGCTTTGTTGAGCTTGTTCTAAGTTGGTGCCTTAGACCACTGAGCCATCTCACCAGCCCCGAGAGGGACCCTTTTCACAGCTTTCTGTATTGCAGGCCTTAAACACAGTCTTGCATGCTAAGATGAACCAGTGTGACAGGAAGAAAGGTCAGGAGGGACATGCAGGCAGAGCAGATTGCCCCAGCAAGCAGAGCACCAGGTTGCATTGGTCCTTGGGTTGCAACAGCCGGCTGGGTGCAGATGACTAGTGTGGTAGGGCTCAGTGGCATATGCTGCACTAGTGTGCATGCGATACCGAAGAGGAACAAATACCCAACCAGATGGGGTTCATGGCAGCTGCAGCGGCTTACATACCACATGGAGGGGAGTTTTGTGCCACCGAGCCTCCTTCCCTTGCTGGCAATGGGTTGGGGGATTGATGGTGATAGCAGAGTTACCATGCTATCCAGTGTGGGACAGTATCCAGCCTGCAAGTAGAGCTCCCTTGTCTGTTTTGCTTACAGCAAGGCAGTGGTGGGGCTTTAGACAGTGCTGAGAACTGGGAGAGAGTCTGGGAGCACTGGAGGCCACTGACCATGGCAGGGATCTTTGACTGCTGGGAGCCACCTGAGGGAGGAGAGCTGCTGTATTCCTATACCATCATCACTGTAGATTCCTGCAAAAGCTTACATGACATCCACCACAGGTAAGCTTTTCTGTGTCTAATATTGGGGATCAAGCTCTTGAAGTGCTGAGTCATATTCCCAGCCAGTTTTTCTTCATTTATTTTGAGAAAAGTTCTTTTTTTTTTTTTTTTTTTTAATGTATGTGGTTGTTATAAGGTCTCACTGCACAGCTTAGACTCATAGTGATCCTCCTGTTTTCAGCCTCCCCACAGCTGGGATTACAGGCATAAGTCATTATGCTGGAATTCTGTGGCCTGCTCCATCCACCCTGAGGGTGGTGCTGGAGCTGCATGTGGTGCTGGGGATTGAACCTAGAGTCTCGGTCCCTGGGCTTGGCTAAGCTTGCCTAAGTAGGTGCTTTAGTCCTCTGAGCTATCTCATAGCCCCCTTTGAGACAGATTCTGACTAAGTTGCTGAGGCTGACCTCAAATTCATGATCATCCTGCCTCAGTCTCCCAGGTGGCATTGGAGGTGTGCATCACCATGCTTGGCCAGAGTCCCACTTACTGTCCATGGGTTGATTCAAAAGGATACAGATGAGAGTTAAGTGTCTAGTGCTTTTGGATAGGTAAAGAACCAGCTTGGGGGTGGTCATACGTGCCTGTAATCCCAACACTCGAGAGGTTGAGGCAGGAGAGTCATTTCAAGTTCAAGGCCAGCCTGGGCTACATAGTGAGGTCCTGTCTGAAACAATAAAAGATAAAAACTGAATATTAGATCCAGTGAGTCACTGCCTTCATTTTAATCTCTACATCATGACTGGAAACATTTATTTTGTGTGTGGTGCTGGTATCAGAGCACTTGTGTTTTGTTTTTTAAAAAATTTATTTATATAACAAAAAATATAGCATATATAACATGTACAGGGTCTACAGGGTTTCATTATGTAGATTGGACTCATAATGATTCCCCTGTTTTCTGGCTCCCAAGTGCTGGGATTATAGGCATGTGCCACCACGCCTGGTCTCAATCAACAGCTCAGCACACCCGGCTGCTGTGCTCTGCCTAAGCAGGCACTTCAGTGCAGCTTTAGCTGAGCTGTCTGGCCAGCCCACTTGTGTGGCTTTTGCCTATGTCCTGATGGTACCACGGCCCGGCTCCGTGTCTTGGCATGTGCTGGGCGGGGTCTTTGCTGTGGCACTGCATCCCAGCCCCAAGTTGGAAATTCCTGAGGGTGGTTTCCATCTGTGCTGTGGCTTCTCCTGACAGAAGGAAACACCAGGCCACAACTCCTTGCACTGCAGGAAGCCAATTAAGAGTTTTTAATGTCTTTTATATAAATATAGTTTTCTCATTGGAGGAAAAAATTTGGAACTGTTTTCTTTTTTTAAAAAATCTACCTGCAGCCTCTGCCCCTTCCAGCCTCATCAGTGCTTCACGGCACTTCTTGACGCTGCTCCAGCCATGGATATTCCTTTTACTTTTGCAGTGTTGTGGCTGCTATGGCTTTCCTTATATCCGTTGCTCTGGAGATAATTCACACGTTCTTTTTTTTTTTGTTGTTGTGGTACCAGAGTTTGAACTGAGGATCCTGCGCTTGCCAGGCAAGTGCTTATTCTACTGAACTATCTCCCTGGCCCCAATCACACATTCTTGTTTTTTCTTTCAAGATGTTTTATTACTTGATGCTTCTCAGTGTTCACAATGTTTTCATTACTCTCTATGTGTTGTCTGGCATGTTCTGAGCCAGGAAGCTGAGCCACTGGAGAGGTGAAATGGGTGCTTAGCTTGTATACATAGGCAAGTTCCCAGGCACTCAGGGTTAGAGCTCAGCCTGGGGACCTTCCTCACAAGTGCAGGTAACCTGGGACCTGAAGAGGTGTGCATCTCATCAGCGCTCCCAGCTTCTTTAGCTGGGGTAGTTTCCTGTGCTCAGTGTGAAACAGCAGAGACAAATGCAGAATGTACATTTTGCTGCACTTGCTCCCTGACACGTGAGTCCCACTGGAACTGCTTTGCAGTTGCAAAACAAGCACTAGCAGAACGGATTGAATTTATGTGACTGCTTCACAGTTACTGCCAGGTCTGAGCACAAACCTATGTGTGGTTTTGGTGCTCTGCTACAAAGAGTGTTAATGCTGCACCTAGCAGGATTATCTGCCTTGGCCTAAGCTGTATCTATGAAAATACACTGTTGTGTGATAGAATTCTTTTAGTTTCTGTGGTATTGAACTCAGGGCCTTCACACTGAGCTGCATCTCCACACACCCCTTTTTTGTTTTTAATGTTGAAATAGGGCCTTACTAAGTTTCCCAGTCTGGGCTTGAGTTTGTGATTTTCCTGCCTCAGCCTTGTGGAATGCTATAATATTATTTCATATGTTGGTAAGGAACGTAAAGCAAGCTGGGTGTGGTGGCAGATTGCTGTGAGTTTGAGGACAGCCTAAACTACATAGCAAGACCCTATCCCACCACTGAAAAAAAAATGTAAACCACTGTTGGTCAGGTGTGGTAGCATACACCTGTAATCCCAGCACTCAGGAGGCCAGCCATAGTTAATGTAGGTTCAAGACCAGCAGCCTGAACTATATAGCAAGAGCCTGTCTCAAAACAAAAAAGCACTGTTACTGCCAAATAATCTATAATACAGTGCAGAAATGCCATTTATCATTAAATACATCCAAGTTAAAAAGATTTTAAGGGTTTCCTTTCTTTTGAGCCTGGGTCTTGCCCTGTGCCCAGGATGGCATTGAACTCCTGAGCTCAGGCACTCTTCTGCCTCAGGCTCCCAAGTAGCTGATACTATAGCCCATGGTGCTATGTCCTGCTAGCCCTCTCTTACTGTAGGTTTGCACATGTTGTGAGGTCAGAAGCTGTTGTTGATAGGCAGTTTGCAGGTATCTATTGACCCTTCACTGGGGACCATAGAAAGCTTACCAGTTTGTTAGCATGGGCATTGGAGTACCAGTCCCAGGGAATGCCTTTGTGGCAGCTGCTATCCGCTAATTCAGGTATCTATGTCCCTCCCTCACTGTCTCTGCTCTAACATCCGGATGCATAGGATGCCTGCCATACTGGATGGAGATGAGGCTGTGTCCAGGTGGCTGGACTTCGAGGATGTCCCCACTCAGGAGGCCCTGAAGCTGATCCACCCCACAGAGAATATCACCTTTCACCCCGTCTCCACTGTCGTCAACAACTCGAGGAACAACAGCCCTGAGTGTCTGACTCCTGTCCACTTGATGGTCAAAAAGGTAGGGGCCTACTATGTGGCTTTGTCTCAGCCTGTAGCCTTTCCTAGTCATAGCTTTAAGCCCTGAAAGCACTCTCTGTCCTTGGGCATCTTCAGAAGAGCTCACCCACCTGTAATCTCCACATTCTGGAGACTGAGGCAGGTGGATCACTGTGAGTTCCAGCATAGCCTGGACTAAATAGGTAGGCCCTGCCTGAGAAAGTCCTCCCACCCCCAGTTCCCCACACAAAGAGCTTGCTTTGGGTCTGGGTTCAGGGCTGCAACCTGTCATCTCAGCTACCTGAGAGGCTGAATCAGGAGTATCTCTTGTGTAAGCTCCACTGTGGCAATTCAGTGACTTAGAACCCTATCTGAAAATTTGAAAAATGGCTGAATTCAGTTCCCAGCCAAGAAGATGATAAAATATGAGAAAGGAAAGAGGAGGCATCCTCAGTGAGTCTCATAAGTCAGGTTCTTCTCAGAGTGACTAAGGAAGCCACAGAAGCCCTCAGCCGAGCTCATGTCTGACCTGAGCCTGCTGGCCTCTTCTGGTTCTTCTGTACCTGCTGCAGCCACAAGGAGGTGGAGAGCCCCAGCCATCTCAGAAGCGCCTGTGTGATTTCAGCATTCCTAGCACTCAGGCAGTGGGGAGTGAGTGCCCCATTTTAATTAACTGGCCACGTTGAGCGAGGTGTCATTTCAGCACTCGGGGAGGCTGAGGCAGGAGGACTGCGACAAGTGTTAGGCCACTCTGGGCTACACAGCAAGACCCCATCTCATAAAGTAAATAACAAAGCACACTTCAGTGCTACTGAGGGTGAGGAAGCTGGGGCTGTGTGGAGGGACCTGGAGAGCTCATGCTCAGCAGCATCAGGACAACAACCATGAGGACAGCTGCCTGTCCCGTTTTCTTTCAAATTTTCAACCTCATCCTTGGTCACTGCCATCCTTTTTCTTTTTTCTCAGTTCTCTGCAGACTCCTCTTACCCTGACATTTTTTTCCCCTCTAAAAATGAAACATGTGCATATCTTCATTTTGTGCCAGACTCCACCCCATTTACACATTATCCTTACTCTGTGAGGTCGTGTTGTGGGGGTACACAGTCCTAATTCAGAGCCTTTTTGCTCAGGGCAAGGCTGTGGGGACTAGGAGAAGCACAGATGATGTGGCCTGCGATCCTCAGGTCTGATGCCTGCATCGCTGGCTTCATTTCTCAGCACTCTGTATCATTTTGTCCTCTACTCTGCTCTGAGCCCCTCCAGCATCTCCTGTGCTTCTGTCTTCTGGCTAAGTTGGCCCTCCAGGGAGCTGGAACTGGATTCTGTGAGCTTTTTTTCTTGTAGGAACTCAAGGCAAGTGGCAGTAGCCAAAAGATGATGCAGTGGCTGGCAACAAAGTCACCCAAAAAGGAAGACCAAGAGACATCACTAAAGGACAAGTCTGATACACCCCAGTGGTCCAGCCAGTTCCTGCAGAAGAGCCCACTGCCCACCAAGAGAGGTGGAGCAGGCCTCCTGGTGCAATGGCTGAAGCAGGAGAAGGAGGAGGCGCCCCCAATCAAGCGGCTTCATAATCAGTAGGCAACGTCCCTGGCCTACTGCAGTGCATATATGGGAGGAGGTGACAATGGCTAGGTGACAGTTGCAGGCTCTCTGGAAATCCAGAGTGACCCAGAGTTTCGTATAATAGCAGGACACTTCCAGGCCTCCCTCTAGGGGAGGGTCCGCAACTGCATATTGTAAAAACTGGCGCTCTGGGAATCTTGGATATTTAGTTAACTCTATGATGTTCTCAATTTTGAAAGAGGATGAGGCAGGCCAGGTAAATTTAGGCTGAAGAAAACTTTTTTTTTTTTTTTTTGGTGGAACCGGGGATTGAACTCAGGCCCTTGTGTTTGCCAGGCAAGCACTTATTCTACTGAGCTATCTCCCCAACCCCAAAACCTTTTTTTTTTTTTTAGAAAACTTTTTTGCTAACTTAAAAAAAATTAAAATAGCTATATTCTAAGCCTTAAGATAATAAAGGAATCAAAATAAAGATCAAGCTTTGTTGTTTGTAGTTACCTGCTGGGCATCTGTAGGGCCACATGAGAGTCACATGTTTCATGAAATCCATTGTAAATCCCTGAACATCTTAGATGAAAGCATAGATTGAGTATCAGGTTAACGGCCCAAGACTTTGTTCTCTGCAGTGGCCTCTGATGCTCCAGACTGTGTCACTGGTGCTCTTTCCATGGACACACTGTCCAAGAAGACTTGAGGCCCAAGAGGCAGTGCTGGCCTCCACTTAGCCTGCTACGTGTCTGCTGATTTTGTGCCACCGACTCCCTGGTAGAGGCTGACCAGAGCTGAACTGTGAGCAACAGCAGGTGTCCAGAAAACCCCCTCCATGAGAAAGTGGAACCTGTTGCTTTAACCCCCTCCCTGTCCTTCCCCAACTGATGAGGCTTGTGAGAGTGCTTACGTGACCTTATAAAATCACCACATTTTCTTTGTTCTTTCAAGGCACAGGTAAACCTAGTGTCATTCTCCCAGTTGTAGGTGAATCAAAAACCAAACTTAGGGCACTTTAGTGTTTGAGTGCTGTGTTCACAAGTAGACGCGCATTCCCAGAGCACGCCTGTCTGATGATAAACCATTCCTTTTTTTTTTTTTTTAAAGCATTCCTTTTAAGTAAACCTGACAGCATGACTTAATTCATGGAACCTATGTATCCACTCACATACTGAGCTGCTATCAGCTTTGTACTTCCTACCTGCAAAGTATAATTAAACTGAACACAGACCTGCATGTGGCTGGTGATTTGAACATCTGGGTTCCCCAGTCAGCTGGTGCAATGAAAGTTGCTTTCTAACTCCTCAGTGCAGAGTTCTCCATTTGGTTTTTGCTGGTTTTCCTAGAACAGGCACACATTGTGCCCTTAGAGTCTTCTCAGCCTGCCAGTGGATGTTTGGGGCCTCAGAACTTTCTGAATCAGGATTCATTTTTTCTGGCAACATGCACCCCTAGAAAAAACACTGCTGACTGAGGCCACATGTAGCACAGGCCCCTGAAATGAATCTGAGAACATTAAATCTGTATAGGGCACACAACATTGAAGTGAAAGTTGAATAAGTACCTCAAAAAAATCCACCAGATGACACAAATGACCATGCCATGGCACAGACCAGAATCCTGCTGTGATTCTGAGATTCTCAGAATTTTTGTGCAAATATTTAATATTTAAGCATTTTTATTGATATGTAACAGGCATACAGAAATACATGGGCAAAACATTCACATAAAGTTCAATAAATTATTACAAAATGAATACACTTTTTCTGTCAACAAACTTTATTGGAAGAACTTCCACAGTCCTGTAATATTACCATTAGCACCTACTTGGTATTGAATTCTTCCAAAGACTAAGGACCTTGTATAGGCCATTTAAAATCCAAGCGCCCGGAAGAACAACTTCTGTATTTCCCTTTTTTTTTTTTTTTTTTTTTTTTGCAGTAGTGGGGATTGAACTCAGGACCTTGCACTTGCCAGGCAAGCACCTATTCTACTGAGCTATCTCCCCAGCCCCTGTATTTCCCTTTAACTGATAAAGAAACTAGTTCATAAAGGTGAAGCGACTTCCCAAGGTTTCAGAGCCTCATGGCCAAGGGACCCAGATGAAACCTAAGACTGATTCATACCACTTCCATAACACTTCATAGCTGCTGTCTTCCTTTCCAATCTCTGATGAGATCTTTGTGGGATACTCCTTTACCAAAGTTCCTTTGAGAAATGTTGCCCAAACCAAATCGTTCTTGCCCCAGTTACCTGGCCTAACCAAGGGCATGCACAGAACACACTTCTCCTGAGGGATGTGCTCTAAGAGATGTTCTAGATGTCCAGGAGAGGACGGGTACCCCATAAAAGGGCTGTGAAAAAAGATTTCTAGGGCCGTGGGAAGAGCTAGGAGTGTAGCACAAATCTTAGGCCTGTCACCTACCACATATGAGACTTTGGCTGAATCACCATGCCTCTCCTAAGTCTCTTTTGGTTTTTATGCTGCACGTGTACAATTAGGAAGAGTCCTGTGGAGCCATCTGTGGTCTTGAGGTGTTCCCAGGGTAGCTCTCAGAGAAGGGTTCAAGAGATGGTGACTGTGAAGGCCTGAGTCACCACCCAAGCTGCCTTTTCCAGCTCCAGTCCTGTTGGTTCTTGCCAGTGAGCTGCACCTCGGTAAACTACTGTGAGTCCCTGAGGACCCAGGCTCATCCCTCTGCTTCCTGGGGCCAGCTCTAAGGCCATGTGCCATCCCCACTGCACAGAGTGGCAGCAGCCACCCTTCCTCTGTTCCAGGAGGCACGAGGGCATGGAAAAGCATGGGTACCAAAATGAATGAATACACTTGCATAGCCAGGAATAGGTCAGTCTCTATCATGCTCTCAATAATCACTTCCTCCCTCTGCCTTCCTAAGTACAATGAGGATCATAAGGACTTACATTGTCTATCATCTTTGTCTTTTTATACAGTTGTTTTATTACTGATGTTGCATATTTGTTCATTTACTTACTTATTTATACGCAGAATCAAGCTCAGGACCTGGCACTTTCTGGGCAGATGTTGTGCTCCTACATTGTCTGCCCTGCCTTCCGTAGCAGTGTGTTAGATTCCACACCACATTCACACCTTTTCCACCTGCCCACAAGAGCCCACTAAAGCCTGGTCCACTCTTCATGCTGTGGCCATGATGATCAAGGTGCTAGAACTGAGCAGCTGTCCCCCACCTCACCCTTCCATGCCAGCCAGTGTAGGGCTGCCATAGTTGCTATGGTCCCATGGTTTCTGCATGGAACCAGAGATGAGTGCTGGCTGTGCCGGATTTCTGGTAGGAAAGGCATCTGTGACAACCAGATGGTTGGGAAGGCAGGAATAGAAGGAAAGGGAAACACCCCACACTGTCCCTTGTCTTCCATTGTAGTCAGACTTCCTTGGCTCGTATCTCTTCTAAGTGCTCCCTTGGTTGTTGCAACCACTTGGGGACCCAATTTTCACCCCATGTTCCAATGATCTTCCAAATCTGCTCCTCTGAACACAAGGCACATGAGGGGCATTTGAGATCTAACTGTAATAGTCATCTACCTGAATGTCTAAATTGCTGTTAGCAACATTTTCCTGAAAGTGTGCTGACCCCTCTGGAGAAGTACCATGGGATCCTTTCACTTTTCATGTTTTTATTTTAATTTTTTAAAAGTCATGTATTTATTTGTGTATTTATTTATTTGCTACAGGATCTCCTTACACAGCTCAGACTTGTAGTGATCCTCCTGTCTCAGCCTCCCCAGTGCTGGAATTACTACAGGCATGCGCCACCACATCTGGTTTCTGGATCAGAACAATGTGCCTGGGGTTCCATACCCAACACAGCATGCCGTACAGGAACTTGAACCTGGGTCTTTGTGCTTGTCATGAAGGCACTTACACCACTGAGCTGTTTCCCCAATCCTCACTTTTTATGTTGACAGGAATACTTGGTAGAACAGTTACATTTTAATGTGAACTTTGCCACTTGAAATCATCTTTCCTGGCAGAAACCAAACTCTGTGCATTACTCTGACTAATCATGGTTAAAATAAACACTAAAATACTTGCTGCACAACTGTTGTAGCACTGCAGAAGGAAGCCTAACTGCTGCCTTTTTCACCTCAGAAATAGTAAACCAGTGTGACTGTGACCAGATCCTATAACAACTGAGTTTTGTAAAGATGCCAATTACCAGACCCAGGCCACCGCACTGCTGGCCTTGTGGAGCACTCTGCCATGAGCTGTCCTGTTTTCACCTCATAAAGATGGTGGTGCGGGGTTGCTGCAACCTTTAGACTAATGACTGTCTGAAACATTGCCTCCATCTGTAATATGGGCACCAATGCCTCTGCTCTGGAAAAAGATATCAGTCCAGGGCGATTTCCAGTCAATGAACATTATTTGGATTTGTCAATTTTGGGAACACATGCTACTGCAACTCCGTGCTTCAGGCATCATTTCTGCCAGATGTTCCATGAGAATGTGTTGGCATACAAGGCCCAGCAAAGAAAGAAGGAAAACTTGTTGATATGCCTGGCAGACCCTTTCAAAAGCATCGCCATGCAGGAGAAGGTCAGCATCATCCCACCAAAGAAGTTCATTTCAAGGCTGAGAAAAGAGAATGATCTCTGATAACTACATGCAGCAAGATGTGCGCAAAATTTTAAATTATTTGCTACTCACCCGCCAAGTAGGAATTTCTGCAGCATTTGGGGAACCCCCAGATCCAGTCCTAGCCCAGGCCCGGTGAGTGTGTGGGAGAGCTTCCCGCTACCCTGCGCTGGTGGAACCTACCGATCCCAGCCCAGGCGCAGCATGGGTGAGACCCTCTTCCACCCACTTGGGATGCTCTCCAC